TTTACTTTCACTGTCTGAGACCTATTTGTTAGGTACGATCTTAAAAGTTTGATCGCTGAGTCAGTAAAACCGTATTTTTTAAGTTTAAGTAACAATATGTCGTGAGATACACAGTCGAAGGCCTTCGAGAGATCACAGAAGACTGAGATATTGTGTTCCCCTCGTTCGAAACAGGACAAGACGTGCTCTACCAGATCCAGTATAGCAAGAGTAGTGTTTTTACCTCTTCTAAAACCATACTGTTTACTAAAAAATATGCTATTTGACTCTAAGAACTCAGACATCTGATTTACCAGCAGTTTTTCATAAATTTTTGATATTATTGGCAAAAGGGAGATAGGCCGGTAGTTGTTAACTTCGTTTGTATCACCCTTTTTGTAAATTGGCACTATTAAAGCATCTTTAAGGATATCCGGAAATACACTATTAGAGATGCAGGCATTAATCAGGTTGGTTAAGGGACCTATAATGAGATTTTTGACACTTTTGATCAAATTTACATTGTACCCAAATATATCGCAAGTATTTGAATTCTTTAAGTTGGCAATTACGTCTCTTGTCATGTTAAACGTAACTTTCTTAAATGAGAAAGATTGATTTGTTAGGCCAGAGTCAATAATGTTAACAGCATTAAGACCAGGGGGTACAATTTGACTTGTAATTAGTTGTGCAATGTTAGTAAAAAAATTGTTAAATTCATCTGCAGTTATTTTTGTGGGCTCACTATGTCCAAGTACGCCCCTGTTTTCATTAATTATTTCCCACATTGTTTTATTGGGGCAATTTGACTTTTTAATTATTGCATCATTGCACTTAATTTTTTTGTTAATAATAGTTTTTTTGTATTTAGTTTTTAATTTGTTTCTCTGAGTTATTAAATGTGTATTTTCTGGAAAAGATTTACAAAGCTGTGAAACAATTAATAAGCCTTCTCTCATTTTTTGTAGTTCGTTGTCAAACCAGTTTTGATGAAACTTTTTAAACTTATTGCCAACTGCAATTTTTTGTGGAAATGATTTTAAAAATAATTTATGTAGAACTGTCATAAATTTTAAGAATAGTAAGTTAGGGTGTATATTTTGTTCTCTTGTAAAATCCCAAGTCTCTTGTTCGAGTAGGGAGTACAATATATACTTACCCATTTTAGTAATTGGTCTGCACAACTTTTTGTTAGAACCGTTGAAGCCCTTTTCTAGTTTTTCCATTGAAAATTTTAGAATTTGGGCTTTGTGATCAGATAAATAAAGATCAGTGGTAGAAGGAATACATGCTCTAGTGTCAAAATTAATGAACATGTTGTCTAAACAGTTTAAACCTCTAGTAGGTTCAGAAAACAGAGGTTTCAGGTTGAAGGTCACAAAAAGGTCACAAAGTGCAGCACACTCACTACAATCAGTTCCAAATTTTACATTAAAATCCCCGACAACTAGTATTTTTTTTATCAGAAACCTGATTCAGAGCCTGTTCTATAATTTCTAAAAAAGATAAAAAATTACATGAAGGAGATCTATACACACACATTAAAATTAGGTTAAAATCAACTAGGTTAGTACAGCTTATTTCACAAATTTTATCACTTGATAGATAACTTACATTATGCTGTTTTTAGCTGTTTTTATGCTGTTTTTAGCTGTTTATAAAATTATGTATTGATCAAATCCTTTTCTAATTATTATTATCGAATATCGAATTCTTTACATATTACAAGAAAACCGTATTTATCGAGCCAACATAATGAACACATATTATAAAACTTATCAAAGGTCATGTCAGTATTAACATAATCTTTATAAATATGTTTTAAGTTCATATCGTCTTGTTTGAAAATTATCAACATATTAGCATTGTCACGTATAAGATGTTTCGGTATATGAGCATAAGTTTGCGTCAAATAAAATGAATCGATAAGATTATGTCTACCCATTGCAAAAAAATCTCTTATTATACTCTGTTTTTCGCAAGCTACATCATCGAAAATAAAAACAGAATTTGATTTTGCCTTCGATGGTGATATTATATTTTCATTATCGTTATACTCATAATATTTAATACCCTTTATAAGTTTAAATATTTCCTTTAAATATTTATAGATCGGTTGGTATAAAGACTTGGAAAAAATATATACATTTTCAAAACGTAAGCCGTTTATGTTTTCAAGTAAATTTATCATTATGTTCGTTTTACCACAATTAGATGGACCTGAAATTACGTAAATAATGCCACTCTTGGTTGAATAAAATTTATTTATATATAAAATTTAGTCTTAACAATAGAAACCGTGGGAAGGTGGTGGCTTTCTTCTAGGCTTCTAGGCTACCGATGGAAATTGGCATCTTTTTTTATATAATGGCTCTTTTTATTAAACCACATCGGCTCTAGTTTGGGACTAGTCTACCGATGGGAATTGGCTTTTTTTTTATAATGGCTCTTTTTTTATCTCATCGGCTCTAGTTTGGGGGCTAGGTACCGATGTAAATTGGCTCTTTTTATAATGGCTCTTTTTCTCTCATCGGCTCTAATTTTTAGATTAGCTACCGCGAGGTAATGGCTCTTTTATTATGTATATAAAAATAATGCTAATATCAGCGGTTCTAGTTTACTGTAAAATATTATAAAATGTGGTGTTAGTCAACAACCTTATCAGCACCACCCACAATCGAATAGTGCCCCCACGTAAGAGTATAATCGGTTTCGGGAATCGGGTATCGCTTATCATCCCCAGATGAAAGAGCAATCTTTTGCTGCGTTATGGAGTGCACCTGATGCTTTTTAGACCGAATTAAATTTTGGTTAACCATCTTTTGCTGAAAACTATCGAGGCATTCGACATAATCATCAAATGTGATCTCTGTTTTTACAATGGAAGATTTTACACCCTTAGCCTTTTTTGCGATGCCTAGGTATTTTATAATTTCTTCAACTTCGTCATCATCATATCCATATTCATATTAAGCTTCTTTTTTTTTCTCAATGTCGGCGTCTGTGGTAAGTACTTTCGTTGCATATAATTTTGCACGAAGACCCACATAATGGGTCATCGGGATGCCGCTGTTTTCATCAGTCATCATCCCCAACACTTTCTTGTTAACGAGGGGGATGTTATATTGATTATTTGCAGGATAATCGCTGGTATCAAAGAACTGATGACAGTCCTGACGAATAACTTCATATGGGTCTTGATGCAGCTCATAGATAAGACTGTCTGTATCGGTATAGAGAACTGTACATTCGGGGAAAGCGTTAACCATATACCTATAGTGGAAATCGTATATGGTCGTTTTCGCCAAGTCGAGAATGGACTGTCCTACATATACCGGCTTGTTCAACCATATCTGAAGCTTTCGGAGCTCAATAGCCACCAGATTATCATTAAAGATGGTGCAGTTTTTAAATTCAGGCTTCGCTATATAAGCCTCTGCACCATAGCGACCATTCCACTCGGTTAAGAGCTTAATATTAACCCTTTTACGTATATTTTCCATGGTCTTACCGAACACCGCGTTATTCATTAGCTTGAACAAGTTCTTTTCGAACTCATTCGCCGCTTTCTTGCGCAGCGTGGTGTTTAGCCAGGGCGCCTGCTTAAACTGCAACACTCGATGGATCTTGGTTAAAACAAGCCCTTGTTTGAGGGCTTGTTTTAAGGCTCGGTAGTGGATAACATACTTTTTCTTATCATCCAATGTTACCATCAACTTGGTGAGCTCTCCGGCTGTATTTGGCGGCTTACCAGTCTTGGGATTTATGTGCTGTGGGCAAAAGGGTAAATCTTTATGGCGATCATGCAAATGCTGCGGATACTCAAGGTCCACCTCTAGGATATACCCTTCAGGAGCATCATCCGGAATTTGGGTGACATCTATATTTGGATTGACCCACTCAAACCCAGATGTTGGTAAATGCTGCGACATAGCCCACCCATACTGATTATTTACATCGAAGTACATCAAGTACTTTGACTGTTTCGTTGGATCATAATTGGGCAAATACTTATTGTTTGCCTCAGCTTTTCGCTTGCCGCAAACCTGACTGAGACCGCCCCTAATGCCTCGTTCCACAAACAGAAACATGTCAAGGTCGGTTAAAAGCTCTAACTCCTGTTTTGTATATTTTAGCATACAATCCCAGGTGTAACCAGGTAACGTGTAATAGTGGGCCGGATCCAAGTCGTAAGTTTTAATGCAGCTGGTACGAAACTGTTCAAACACGTCAGCTAGGAGCATTATGTCCGTCTTCATATAAAGCTCCACATAGTCACCGAAGTCTTGACAGCTAAACTCAGACCATACATGTTGAGCTCTTAGATAGTGTCTGCGGGGGCAGGGCTTTTTCTCCAACTTATTGTAGAAATTTTCAATGGGAGGCAGCTGAGTTTCACTAAAGCGCTTAAAAGAATCCAAATAGTCATATGGCATAACTCCTTTCTTTGTCAATAGCTTAAACTGATCTTCGGATAATTCTGAAAACTGTGATTTCATGTTGGGAAATTCTTTCAAGTAGGATGATAATTTATCTAAACTGCTGGCCATGAAACGGAAGGAATCGATGAATCTAAATTGAATAGGAAAGTCGTCGATGTGTTTAGTAAAACTAATATACTTTTCCTTTGTTATTGGTAACAAGTCGATGGTTCCCTTCATCCTTGTAGCAATATCTGTGATAATAAAGTGGGCATCATATCCGCTTAAATTGTGAAAGACCACAGGTACCGTATGACTATCTTTATAGTTAATGTTACATGATTCATGTGCTGCGCCTCGATAATTATTCTCGGGGATCAGGTGGTTATGATTCCTTACTTTCTTATCCTCAGGTGTGAACGACTGCTCGCATATATGACAGGTTGTTGCAGCTCGAAACTGTACTTCCTGTATCCATGTCATGTTAATATCATAGGGACACCAAAACTCAGTTGACAAATCTTTATCTAAGCTGTTCATTTCATCAGCAAACCGCGCCATACAGTCCTGCCCGCGATAGCCTTTGTAGAGACTAACATCCTATGAACATTTCATGTAGTATTCAATGGCAGCTGGAACGTGGTGTTGTGGCTTCTTCGGGTTATCTGTCGGTTCCAGAACACTTTTCAAATTAGCGTATACGATGAAAGGCGCCTTCTCCTTGTTTCTAAAATTTTTAAATTTTAAAATGTTTTTCCCTGGTTCAGGCATCTTTATGGCCGTCTCATTAATTTTAACACAGTTTTCAATATGCTTAGCAAGTTTATCTTGCGAACGGAAATAATGTAGACATCGATCACAGAAGTATTTTTGACCATATTCCTTACTTAGCTGACTTGAGAGAAGTCTGGACATATTCTTAATCCATAAAAAGTGATGCTTTGTAGGAGCGTCCTCATCATAGCTATCCTGAATAAGCAATAAATTTACATGTCTGTCCTTATTATTTTTGGTTAGGTAAGTAGGAAGGACCGTAAATTTGGACTTTTCCTTTTCCAAGATGTATACATTAATTGAGAGACCATTCTGCTTCTCGAAACTGGGGATCTGCTTCATGGTCATAGGCCATTGGATTCCTCGAAGTTTGAGGACGGATGTATAGTGGGGGTATGCTGCTGTACGATCCGAATTTTTGGCTGCTGGGTACAAAGCTGACGTAACTGCCCACGCAAAGCATGCCTCATCATTGTTTTTAATATTTATACAGGCCTCTTTTTTCTTAATTTGAGGAGGTAGCTCAATATAAGATGATCCAAAATGTGGGTTATACTTATTAATATTAACCCCCTAGTTAACCACCTTCTTAAGACCCCACCCGCTGTCCCGTTCTTGGAACTCCTCTAGTTCTGTCATAATAGGGGCTGTGATGTGGTTATCAAACCACTCATTCAAGTTTCTGTTTCGATAGATCGCCGAGTTTGAAGTAGTGAAGTACTAGTACTCGTTCTGTACACTATTCCCCACAAAAGATAGCATTAACCTTGACTGCAAAGTCCTTTTTTAAAGCGTTAATAATACGTCTCCTGAACAAAGCTTTGCAGTCCTCCAAAACAGAGCTTGGATCCTTATGTTTAAGATTGGATATGACGCTTGTTCGTATTCTACTTTCGAAAGCTGACTCTGAATCATCCCAACGTACACGATTCCATGCAGTTTCAGGTCTTGATGTTAGCCCTGCCCCCTTCTTTTGCATAACTTTCAGCTGGTTTCTATGACTTTTAATACTCCGCATGCATGATGCAATTTTTTGTTTTTCCCCAATTGTCCTTTGCACTTTTTAGAGCACGGGTTAGCCGACGCATCGCCAATGCACACTCACGTAGCCCCTTCTGAGCCACTTTCTCGTCATATCGAGACGTTAAAAGCCCCAATATGGAAGCGATGTGGCGAACCAAATCGGAAAATATTGACATGCTAAAATTCAATAGTTGGAATAGTTAAAATTAGGGTAGTTAGAATTAGGGTAGTCAGAATTAGTAATAATATTCTTAGAATGAAGTTTAAACAATTAAATTTAAAAATCTATACAAAGTATTCTTTAAAAAATTATGATTATTCCTGAATTTAGTCTAAAACAATTAAATTTATAAAAATATCTAAGGCTTATATAAACTAATTTTAGCGCAACAGCGGTGAGATGTATACAATTGAGTTTAAAAAATCACCAAGCTTATTTAATCAAATTTATATTAAAAATAATAATGTTAATTCTCGAATTAAATAAAATTTTAATAATACTAAAATAATGTAATCTAAAAGTTAAAAAATCTAAGAAAATGACCTTGATAAATATCTAGGGAAGCAGCTATGACCACTAAATGATAAGAACAATTTATTGTGATATTTTTATAGCTGAAAACAATTAAATTCAAAAAATCAATATATTTAAAAATGCTGATAATTCTTAGGATTTAGTCTAAACAATTAAATGTAGAAAAAATCTCTAAGGATTATATAAACTAATTTTAGCACAACAGCGGTAAGATGTATACAATTAAGTTTTAAAAATCACCAAGCTTATTTAATCAAATTTATATTAAAAATAATAATGTTAATTCTCGAATTTAATAAAATTTTAATAATACTAAAATAATGTAATCTAAAAGTTAAAAAATCTAAGAAAATTACCTTGATAAATATCTAGGGAAGCAGCTATGACCACTAAATGATAAGAACAAGTTATTGTGATATTTTTATAGCTGAAAACAATTAAATTAAAAAAATCAATATTGTAACGTTTTTACTGTTCGTAGTGTGAATTAAAACACGCACTGGTTAATTAACGAACTAAACTATTTATTTAATAACTTAACTACACTTAAAACACTATAAAACTAACTAAACACTTAACTACTAATTATTTATATATCACTATTGTTCAAGAGTCTATTTATTTGCACTTATATTTATTTATTTCGCCGCGAGTACCAAATCTTAACTGACTGCTCTGTGTTGCTCCGTTTCTTATATATCCAGCGCCCAAGTATTCTGGAACATTCCAGCGAGCTCCACACTCTCGATTATTCGAGCGCTGAGTCACCGGCGATGACTCACCGGCAATGACTAATCGGCGATGAGTCATCACTCCGATATCCAGGGCGGTACTCGCTACATTGCCCCCGTCTTAAAACATTTTCGTCCCGAAAATGGTCCTCAGCTCCATGGCGATATTTGCATAGAGATCCAAACTTGCATTGTGACGTCCTATAGAAGTAGCAGTCTACGGTCTTCCTTCCGGTTGTTCTTTTAGGGTTGTGGCAACAGACAAGAATGTGTATGCCACTAAATCTGAAGATAACTTCCACCATACTTCTAATTATTCTCCAGTCTAAACCGTCAAGTCCACAAGCAATCTTCGGTATCGCCAGGGTCATGATGTCCTTGGATAAAAGGGCATCCCTCAATTTATTTAAGGCATTCCATACGTCACGGTAGTTTGGCTTCTGATGGGAGAGCTGCTTCGTTACCAGATAGAAGATACTTCTATTGCCTATCTGCTCATTATTCACAATTTCAAGCACCTCTCCAACTTTGGGATTCTGCCTTCGTAGCTCGTCGATCCGTCCAAACTTGTTTTTAAAAACAACCGCTATTCCCCTGGACATCCTTAGGTCTTCTGCAACACAGTGAGCCAAGGAGTAATCGGCCGAAACCGTGAACAGATCTTGTTGTTCTTCTCGAGTGACACCAAAGCGAGCTTTTTTACCGCTCGAATATAAATACATGAAGTCTTCAAAAGGCAACTCGTCTTCCGGCGGATTAACTCTCCTTACTCTAGCATCGTCATTGTTTCTAGCGTAAGGGGCCAATCGGTTGAAATGGACCACTTTCGGCTTTCCTCTTGGTTGTTTCCTGATCCTGTAGATGATGTCATTTATTCGATCCATAACTTCGTAAGGTCCCTCCCAAGAAGTCTGCAGCTTCGGTGAATAACCACGATGGCGCTGAGGGTTGTATAACCAAACTAGGTCTCCAGGTTGAAATCCTCCATTTTCCGCCTTGATGTCGTATGCCTCTTTCATTCTATCACTGGCACTCTGGATGTTTAAACGAACTCGGCTGTGAATGTCGCTCATTTTTCTACGTAAATTGTTGACGTAATCTTCTCCAGCAATATCATCCCCTGGTAGGCAACCAAATCTCAGGTCACAAGGTAGACGAAGTTCACGTCCCATAACAATGCTAGCGGGTGTCTGGCCGGTTGTATCGTGGATAGAAGAACGGTACGCCAACAGGAACAGATGAAGGAAGCGGTCCCAGTCTCTTTGGTGATCAGAGACTACCTTGGACAGGTACCGGTTTATGGTTCGATTCATTCGTTCTACCATTCCATCGGACTGCGGATGTAATGCAGTCGTCCTCGTCTTTCGAATGCTAAGAATTTTACAGACATTCTGGAACAATATAGATTCAAAGTTCCTGCCTTGGTCTGAATGCATCTCCATTGGCACACCAAAACGACAAATCCACTCCTTAATAAGGGCATCGGCAACTGTGGCAGCTTCCTGATTTGGCAAAGCGTACGCTTCCGCCCACTTGCTGAAGTAGTCCATTACAACGATGATGTATTTATTTCCAGATTCTGTTTCCGGAAATGGACCCGCCACGTCGATTGCAATTCTCTCAAATGGGCTGCCCACATTGTACTGTCGCATTGGGGCTTTTGGGCGCTTCTGGGGTCCATTGCTTGCCGCGCAAACGGCGCACTTCTTGCACCATTCCTTCACATCCCGTTGGCTGTTGACCCAATAAAACCGTTCCCCAAGTCTTCCGAGCGTCCTGGTCACCCCAAGATGTCCTCGAGTAGTTCCATGATGGATTTCCTGCAGCACTTCTGGTATCCTGTTTCTGGGGATTATTATCTGCTTCCGGTCTTCCCCCCCTTCTGGCATCTCCAGAACGCGCTTTAGAAGCCCGTCACTTAAGATAATGGAATTCCATTGGGCCCAGTACGATTTCACATTCGGCGAATATTGGGCGACTTCCTGCCACGTTGGTTTACGGTCGTTCTTCTTCCAATCGATGATAAGCTTCAAATCCGGATCCCTTTCCTGGTCTTGTTGAACCTCAGCGGATTGCCAATGATCATCCACGATTGTAGTCCTCCGAACAAACACATCCTTTTCTTCTGCCCTGAGACAATGTTTACAGTCTTCCGGGCACGGTCTTCTTGACAAGGCGTCAGCATTTCTATGGATGGTCCCAGCCCGATGTTCTGTGTCAAAGTCGAACTCCTGTAGTCTCTCAATCCATCTTGCTACCTGTCCTTCAGGATTCTTGAATTGCAAAAGCCATTTTAGGGCAGCATGATCCGTTCTTAGCAAGAATTTTCTTCCATACAGATACTTGTAAAAGTGTTCGACTGATTTTACCACTGCCAACAGCTCGCGTCGAGTCACACAGTAATTTCTCTCTGGTATCGATAGAGTTTTACTAAAGTATCCAATAACTTTCTCTTTTCCCTCTTGAATCTGCGACAAAACAGCTCCCAGTCCAACATTGCTGGCGTCCGTGTCCAAAATAAATTCACCATCCGGAAGAGGATAACTCAGGACTGGTGAGCTGGTCAACGCGTTTTTCAGGTTTCTTGGCATTCTTCGTCCCATTGAAATCGTCTTTCTCCCTCTGTTAAACGTGTCAAAGGCTTAGCAACCTTTGCGAATCCAGGTACGTACCGACGGTAGTAGGTGCATAATCCAAGAAAGCTTCTTAAGTCATGTTTGTTTTTCGGTACTGGCCATTCCCGCACCGTCTTTACCTTCTGTTTATCCACTGCAACTCCTTGACTTGAAACGACATGGCCCAGATACTGCACTTCCTTCTGGAACAAGTGACATTTCTTTGGGCTAAGCTTAAGGCCAGAACTTCTTAAGCGATGAAAGACTTCCTTCAGGTTCCTCATATGGTCCTCAAATGATTTCCCAACCACAATGATGTCATCAAGGTACACCAAGCATGTCTTCCAGGATAGTCCCTTCAAAACCATTTCCATGAGCCTTTCAAAAGTTGCAGGGGCATTACATAGTCCAAACGGCATGACAGTAAACTGCCACAGTCCAGCACCCACGGTAAATGCCGTCTTTTCTCTATCTTCTGGTGCCATTTCAACCTGCCAGTAACCGCTTTTCAAATCCAGAGTCGAAAATATTTGGGATCCAGCCAATGTATCCAGGGTGTCATCTATCCTAGGCAGAGGGTAGCTGTCCTTCTTCGTCACGTTGTTCAGTTGACGAAAATCGACGCAAAATCGAGTTGATCCATCCTTTTTCTTAACTAACACCACTGGGGAAGACCATGGGCTGTTGGATGGTTCGATCACCCCTTTCTTCTCCATTTCTTGCACAATTTTATCAGCTTCCTCTCGCTTGGCAAGTGGTAGCCTTCTTGCCGACTGTCGAATGGGCTGTGCATCACCGGTGTTAATTTTATGTTGGACAATTCTTGTCCTACCCTTCTTTCCTTGTCCGTCGTCAAAGACATCCTGATAATTGTGAATCAGCTCTTTCAGCTTTATCCTTTCATTGGGTTTCAAATCCTTTGAAGAAGTCGACAGAAGATTCGTCAATTCATTGCTAACTTTCTTGGCCGGGACTGCAGACTCACGAATGCCTCTAATAATCGAGGAAACCGAAGAACAGTTTCCTAAAACGATTCCTTTCTTTAGGTTTACAGAGTAACCATTAACATTCAATA